CTGAGAGCCCCGCCCCGGGAGGCGGCCCCGCCCGCGCCTGGCGCCTGACCTCAGCTCCTGGGGGCCCGCAGGCGGTGGCGGGGGTCCTAGACCTCGCGTCCAGAGGGGCTCCCGGGCTGTGGCGGCGCGCCTCCCGCAGTGGCCGGACCGCGGGGACCCTCAGGCCGGGCCTGTCCCCGGCGCAGCGAGGCCCGCCAAGTCCCCCTCTCCAGCCACTCAGGAGGTCTCTGAACAAGACCCCCCCCACCTGCCCGAATCCCAGGGGACACGAGGAGCCAGGCCTCAGGTGTGAGAGGCCAGCGCGGACTCTGTCGAGGCTCCACTAGGAATGGACCCAGACGGCTGCTGCCTTTTTCCTCCTTGCCTGTCCGCCCTGGGACCTCACGTGGAAGGCGGAGGGAAGGAGGTTCTCCCTGTGCTGCCCCTGGTCCAGTCTGGGCCAGCCCCGGCTGCGAGCTGTACCAGGAGCCCCTGAGAGCAGCCTCTTCCCAGACGCAGTGTCCACTCTATCTCGGGCCCCCCCAGATAGTGGGACCAGGCACGAGGGGTGCACAGAGGCATTTGCTGACTGGCACCCAGTGTTTTGATGGGGTGTGAATCAAATGATTCTTTCTCGTGGCCTTATTACCCTGGTTCATGGAATTACTCCCTTGCATGAAGGGGAGACATTTGGGGATCCCTAATTTGTGGCACAGTATTATTAACTAGGGCAAAAGTGAAATAGTTCCTTCATCAAAATTTATAAGTTTCAAACACTTACCACAAACTGTATGTAGTGAGAGCAGCTAAATTTCTGTCCTTGCCTCTCCTTGTGACCCTGACCGGCAGGAGGTGGGGCTGACGCAGCCATGGGTGAGGAAGGACAACTTGGACACAACCCAGCAGCCCCTTGGTTCACACACAGATGCCTGAAATCATGAGGAAGTAGTCCACACTTTTCGTGCATTGCTGTGGGACCCTTGCTGTGGGACTGCCTGGTCCTGGCGTCCTGAAGACACCTGTGCCCTGTGAGGCTCCCCAGCTGTGCCCCTGCTTGGGCAGCAGGTCAGGAAGTGATCAGCCCTCTGATAACCTGGCTGATCCCCTTGCCAGCTGATATGGTCAAGTGTCACCTTGCTGAGGGCCCTTCTGTGTTTTGACGGAGAGAGAAAAGCCGGGGAACCAGAAGAGAGGCCCAGGTTCAGCAGTGGTCCAGGTCCTCTTACACAGCCTCGTCCATACAGAAAAAGGGAAAGAGCAGGGTTAGGTCCCACAGCCCTTTCTAAGCCTCACGCTGAACTGGGGCAGGTGACCTCTCCTCCAGGCCTCGGTTGTCAATTCTCTACGAGGCAAGTTGGGAAGTGCCTACCTTCTCCGCTGGGCATGATGATGGCACAGCCCTGGGGACTACGGTGGTGCCTGTGTGTCCATCAGCACACTGCTGACCTCTGAGCGTTCAGTTGCCACGTGCTCTGGTCACAGACACAAGAGCCCAGCTGGGAGCTGGTGGGACAGTGTAAAGAGCTATTCAGAGCGAGAGCAAAGAAGGATGGGCAGCAGGGAGAGGAGTTCTCCACTCCTTCTCCACAAGCAGAGCCCTGGAGAAACCCAAAAGGCTGACAAAGGCAGAAAGCAGCCAGGAGAGCAGGGGTGAGAATGGGAGGTTCAGAAGGACGGGTCTGTGGAGAGCAGGGGTGAGGAGTGCAGGGCCTGGAAGGGTGAGTCCAGGGAAGTTGGTTGGCTTGCACTGCTTCATACTTTCTTTGCTTCAATTTTAATCCTGTGATGGAATATTCTAGAAGTCATAGAGTGTTCTGGAAGCTTGACTAGGAGAAGTTGGTCTTGGGCAAGGGGTTATAAGGAGTTGTCTCTCTTGCTTTGGAGAAACGACCAGCAAGGCCCTTGAACCTCTAAGGCAAATCCCCCATGGGTCTCCAGGAACCTTCCAGAATACAGACCCTGGCTCACAGAGCAGCTGGCCGGGCTCTGGGAAACCTTAGTGGGGTCCCTGCGGCTCCTTATTCTTGCCCTGCTTCTGCCTTAGGAAGGCGGAGCATCCCGTTCTCCAGACGGACTGACAACACGAGGTGCCTGCTTGCTGGCGTGGGGCTGTAGGTTCTGGTCTGTCTGTTGAATTTTAGAGTTACCTACAGATTCTCAGAGAAGATGAGTTCTGCATTTTCTTTGGATACTTATTTTTCATTCTGCCTTTCATGGTGTTTTTAATCCGTCGACGCATTTTTCTCCTCAGCACCGTGACCCCGTATTATCAACACCATCTATCGACTCCCCTCCCCAGCTTGTGGCCCCCCCTTCAGGCATGAACACAAGGTTTTATAAAGGTATTTCTGGATGCTCTATTTTATTCCATTGGTTTATTTGTTCCTGGTGGACCCACACTGTTCTAACTGATGTACCTTTGGAATCATGTGCCTTAGTAACCAGTAGGGCAAATTCCTGTTGCTGCTTCTTTTTAAGAATTGTCTTAGAGATTCACAGAAGTTTATCTGTCCATCCAAATTATAGAATGGTTTGTCCTATTGCTAAAAATTCCACTGGAAGTTTTGTTTTGGAGCGCGTAAAATGTATACTTCCATAAGAATGTGTTGGAAGGGTACCTGGGATTTGTTTTAGCGTGGTGTGGTGAGACACACAGACAAGGACACATCCGTGAGATTTTGCTCAGTCGCCTAGCAGGCATGCAAGCCGTGGGGGTTGGGAAGCACCAGGGTCTGTCCGGAGGTTGTGGGAGTAGGTGGAAAATGTGTCAAGACCCTTCACTGTGGTTTCCACAGGAGGCACAGAGGAAGCAGGGTAACCAGGCTTAGAATTGGCTACTGTGAGTATTTTCAGTGGCTGATGGGTGTGGGGCTGTCCCTGGTTGTCTGGCACCTGCCCTGGGGGTGATTAGGGCTGGAAGGTAGTGGCCACAGAGAGGAGGGGTGGGAGTGCGTTCTGGATGGGCTGCTTTTCCCGTGAAAGGTGAGTTAGCTAGCTCTGGGAAGGGCCATCCCTCCAGGGTCAGCAGGCCCCAGGTTTCAAAGCTCAGAATAAAAAGACTTGCTTCGGGCAGACCTTCAGAGCACTGCAGCCAGGGGTACCCTCCCACAGGTCAGCAGGCTCCTGGCTCACTGGCAACACCCACCCCATCAGCGAGAAAGCTGGAGCCCCTTGTTCTAGCCCCTCTAGCTTGTCTTCCCCAGGTGGCCTCCCAACCCTGTGGGCAGGTGTCCTTAGGTCTCTATCATCGGCTATTCCTTCTGCCTGGACATCTGCATTTCTGCCTCCTCACTTTCTTCAAGTTTGACCCAAAATTCAGGCTGGTAAGAACTAGGGGTCCTGTTACCCTCACCCCCTGGTGTGTGTATGGCTCTCAGGGCACCGGTGTGTTCCACGTGTATCTGACATGAAGTTTAATTTGTTTGGAACAGAAGAGTTTCCAAAACACTTTCTGTGAGTGAAATAGGGGCCATTTTATAAATAGGGAAATTGAGGCACAAGAAACTGACTGACCGACCAAGATCACCGCCAGGGCCACTGAAGACTTTGGCCTCATTTCCAGGGGTCAGGACTCCCGGATGGACGTTGCCCCATGGTCATCCATCTCTGCAGGCTGCCCTCTCCAGAGAGGTCCTATTTTTGCAGCACTTGGGTTCCAGATGATACCACTTCCCTCAAATATGCAGATGTTTGACATCAAATAAAGATCTAAATACTTGGCAGTATTTTATATCTTATGTATAGATTTCAACACCGTGGAAGTGTGGGTTTGAAGGGCCCCAGAGATGGGAAACCTCGTCAACCTCTCTTAGCTATGTTCTCTTTCCCACTTCCCTGGACGTGAAAACATGATCCTCTGCATAAAGCATGATCTGAACTGATGACCTCTTCCATGGGTCTTCATCAACATTTAAGAGAGTTTTGAAATTCAGAGGCATGGAAGCATTTTTTTAGTACTTGAGCACATCTTTCTTCACACTTTTGGTTTGCAGAACAAATGTTTACATGTAACTTTGCTTCCTAAAATGTCAAAAATCCCACAAATATGAAAACAATTATTCTCAAAGGAATGGTATTTTATGAAAAACAATTGCTTACAGTAATTCTTTCTAATTGGCTTTGAAAAATGCTGTGTTGAATTATTTCTGCCAATGTGCAAAGGCGGGGTCTTGTTTAGTTGGGAGGAGGGCAAATCCCCAAAGGGGGAGAGTCACTGTGAGGAGGGCACACTGGCCGGGCCTGTGAGCCTGCTGGTTCTCCCTGCCTGCACTGTCACCTCCTTGTCGGTAGAGAAGCACATGGCCCCCCAGGGTAAAGACAGCCTTCCCCAGCCTGCCTGGCAGCTAGCTGGGGCCATGGGACTGCGTCTGGGGGGCTTCAGGGAGAGAGAAGCGGCTCCTGCTGGAGGATCAGGAAAGTCCCGGGGCAGGAGGACGTGAGGTCTGGAAAGACGCCCTGGAGAAAAGTAATTCATGAGTGATGAAAACGTCCTCCACTGCCGCGGGGGCATGTTTCACCGAGCCCAGAGCCAGACCCAGTTGGGTCTGCAGGATGTGGTGCCTCATTTAGAGGTAGGCCCCATGTGTGAAGTTGCTCCCTGCCCCCTCCCCACTTGCCCATTCCCTCCCCTCCTTCCCTCCCCTCCCTCCTTGTCTGGCTGGCTGCAGGCTCCTCGGCAGAGCCTCTCACACAGCTGGGTGGTATCCCATGCCTTGCGCACCCTCCGAGGTGAGTGGGTAGAGCAGGTGTGGATGGGGTGGGCAGTGGCACACCGGCTGCCCAGCTTTCACCTGCATGCTCACCTGTGTGTGAATG